AATTAAAAAAAAAAAGCCAAGAAAATGCAGAGGCCCCAAGTTCAACCCCAAATTCTCCTTCCCACCTCCCTTTCCTTCTCTTTCTCTCTCTCTCTCTCTCTCTTATTCTTTCCATCTCTCTCTCTCTCTCTCTCTCTCTCTCTCTCTCTCTCTCTCTCACACACACACACAAAGAATCTAGCAGTGCATTCATAATTAACATACTGGATTTACTTTCTTTAGTAGTAAATTGAAGAATCTATTTTGGGCAAATGAGACTTTAGAACTGCTCTGACTCAGATTGGAATTGTTTTACTAAGGCTAATCTTCATAAGTACTATTTCAAAATAGTACTTAATACCAAATGCTAGATAGCAAAGCTCAAAAGAAATATTTTTAACAAGTATTTGTTATATAGAAGAAAAGTTTAATTTCTGAACTGAAATGTGAAAATGTAGAAAATAAAATTTGTTCTGTGATATTTATTCCACATTGCCTAATAACTACAATTATGCTTTTCACTAGGAAGGGTTTTTAATGAAGTCATTCAAGTATAATAATACCAGAAGCCCCTGGGAGTGTAATTATCTGGCTTGTTTTGAATCAGGCTGTCTGCAGTTTGTCTAGTGTCCTAATAAGCTCTATAGGGATTACAGACAGTTAATATATGAATTGTAAAACCCTGCTCAGCCTAAGGAAAAAAGACAAACTCAGGTGGTTTTTCACAAAACTGTCAAATATTATTCACCATCAAAGCTAGTGTAGGCTCAAGATATACAGTTCAATGATGTCAGGTTTTTGTCAGCACAAACTTCACATGTGAACTTTCTTAACAGATTTTTTTTGGGGGGGTCCGGTCGTGGGGCCTGAACTCTGGGCCTGGGTGCTGTCCCTCAGCTCTTCAGCTCAAGGCTAGCACTCTACCACTTGAGCCACAGCGCCACTTCCGGCTTTTTTCTTTTTGCTTATGTGGGGCTGAGGAATCGAACCCAGGGCCTCGAGCATGCAAGGCGAGCGCTCTACCACTGAGCCACCTTCCCAGCCCCTCCTAACAGATTTTTGAGAAGGTAATTCATCTTCCATACCTAAGAAAATGCAGAAAAACATTACTAGATTTTGACAAACATCCTAGGTAGTAAAATCTGTAACCTTTAAGTTATTTCAGAAAGAAGTTTTCAATTTTCCTTACAAACTTTTCCATGTATATTAAAAGTTAACCCCTCATTTGTAATTGAGTCTATCCACTCTTCAGTATTTAACATGAATTCTGATGTCTAGACTAGCTTTCTGGGGATAAACTCTGAAGATGTTTCCATTTTAAAGCTCTAAATTCAGTAAGCAAAAATATATAGTTCTCAAATGGATGGAATGTCAAAATAAAGCATATATAAATATAAAAATTAAGTTTTCCATTATTTTATATATTACTTATTTTATATGTATTTATAATATATTACACATGTTATATATTTATCTAATCTATAATGTGATATATGATACAAATATAATCATATGTAATAGTACATATAATATAGCTATTATCTATGCTGTTTTATAATATAATCAATATATTATGGATATATATTTAATTTTTAAATTTTATATATGATATATCACATCTGTAAAATGAAAAACCTCAATCTCTATTTTGATGTAGAAAGCAAATACAAATCTAAGACAATAAGGTAATCAGTTTCCTCAGGAGGAAAAATAGTTTTCTATTTGATGTAGGAAGGCAATGTGGTAGAGGGGATGAATTTCTTCACATTGCATTGTGAGCATTCATGAGAACATCACAATAAAACTTCGTTACAAATGTATTCAAATTCAAAAATGATAAAAAGTGAGAAAAGTTTACTAGTGGACCTAAACTGTATTTACTCTTATAATGAAACCTACCTATATAAAGGTGGCCAAAAGTGTTTTTTATGGAGTCAAGTAAATTTTTTATGAAGTCCAGATAAAGCAACCATGTGGCACAAATGGACCTTTTTCCAACATGTATTCCCAGGACAAATGATTCTTCGTCATCTGCCACAATTAAGTACTAACACTCATGCTTTTCATAAACATCAACATAACCTATCTCCATCCAAATTCTTTTCCTATCATTCTTCCCATATTAGTTTCTCTTCTGAGATGAACAGCTCATGACTACCATCCATTCGTTACTGTGATTTAGGAAAGGCTGTCACAAACAGTTCCATGTGAGCTTGGGTCATCTGTGACCCTTCCAAGGAGCCACATTCTGCCTGAGATCTCAGGACTTTCTTTGATAGACACCAAGCACTGGCGCAAAGCTGCCATAGCCTGGATGGCACTTCCAGGGTTCCATGTTAAAGTCTTTATCACAATGTCAGTGGAGAGAGTCACCATGGCAACAGCGCTGTATTTCCAAGCTGACTGAGAACCTAATCCCATTCAAACCTCTGAAGGTATATCTAGTGACAGAATAATTCTAAAAACAATTCTAAAGCAGAGAATTTTGAAGACCTAATGCTGCTTTTGAGGTATCATGTAGTCTCTAAAGTCCAAAGAACAGTTTTAAAGGGAGAATGGGAGACTTTATGTCCCTTTCTCACTTGGAAAGTAAGTAATTCTCAAAACACCTATCATATTACACAGTACACCTTATTGGATAGAAAACAATTTGTCTACATTCAGCTTTAAACTGAAAATATGAACTCGGGAGATACAAACTACATAGAGAAAATAAGTGCATTAAATAAGCACAGATTTATTTTACTAAAGGGAATAAAAATGAATAAAAAGTAATGGCTGGATATTTACTAGATTAAATGTCCATTGAGGAAGCTTTTACATTCTACCCCAAATTAAACAATGTATCCATTATATGTTTAGATTTATTTTATTATCTTTAAGGAAGTATTCTTAACATTTTACAAATCTCCAGACTCAGAACAGTTTTCAGCAGTGATATAGTAATAACAGCAATAAATACACAGAAACATGAGACTTCTTTGATGAGAGAGTATGGGAAAGAAAGAATTGGAAATAAGAGGGCAAAATATCAACTCTAGATCTGAAGGGGAAATTAATACAATTTCTTTGACAATGTCATTCCATGGAGAAATGAGTAACCCATATCTTATAAATGGAACTGTGACTTTGAGCTTCACCTCTTTGGGGGAATTTAAGGGACATTATTTAACCTACAGATGCCTAAAACCCTACACTATGTATGGATGCCAGAATATTTTTCAGAGTGACCTGAAAGTGATTGCCAAAGCACACACATGCTTTTCTTCCTCAACATTTGTGGTCTTAGTGTCATATTAAACAGATTATAAAAGGGTACAATCCCTATATAACTGCATAAAGTCATAAAAATTGATTCTAAAAAGGCTATGATCATATGTATTCAAAAATACACATAGATGTGCTTTAGTAAATTGACAATTGACATTTTTGCCTTTAAGATATCCAAAGTACATACAAAGGATCCACAAATGTTAACCACTTGTAATCAAAATTATCTAGGTTTACATTTGCAAAAACTTGTGTTGGCTTTCAATTTAAAAATTTAAGAAAGTTGTATAGTTGTTGATGGATTCTCACTTGGAGTGGGGCTAAGAAAAGTAAATGGCTTCATCTTTTAACCAGGAAACTTGTGAGCCACTCACAAATGAGAAGTCACATTCTTTTGATCACTAGAAAAGATAAGTTGCCTAAAATTCCCAATTTAAAAAACAGCATGTGCAGTGTTTAAAAAAAAAGTTTTCTTCTAAAATCAAACAAGAAGTTCTAGGAAAGCCCTTGGGAAATGTATTCTCCTTTTCTCCACACACAAATGACTAAAATAACTTGTATACCTGGGTTGTACACCTACATAGGATTGTGTATTTCATTTACCAAGTTGAGGAATGGAACAGTTTTAAAGGTGGAAAAATATACATACTTGAAATATTGAAGAGGAGGAGGAACATTTTTGCTATACAGTTTCTAAAGTCATTCCAACACAAACAATGTATCGATGTATGCTGAATTCAAAAACAGGATTAAAACACAGAAAAAGAAATGCAACATGCAAAATTCATTGTTCCAACATGAAACACTAGGTCTATTATTTTTAATAAAAACTGCACATCTGTTTACTTGGCTAACAGAGATAATGTACACTGAAGAAAAATGTTATTATATCCTTCTAATAATGCAATCTGTATCAAAGGCACTTCCACAGAGCACTAACTCCTCATTGTTTCCCAAATCATTTTCATTCATGTTACTTTAATCTATATTTTTGTGTGTCATACCAATAAAAAAAACTTCTAATTGTGAGCCTTATCACTACTACTAAAAAAACCAAAAAGTCTATGTATTATCCATTTATGTTTTTCATGGTTTGAGTAATCTAAATCAAACATGTGCCCTAAGTCTTTAAGTTCTTTGGGTTAACAAAGGAGATTTCAGAAATAATTATAGGAAAATATTGACTGAAGTCTACCATTTCAATTTTATCTACAATTTTACTAAAGCAAATGTGGCTATTTGGTTCTAAACTTTCACCTTATTTGTGTGGCTTGAGTCAATATTGCTCCTATGTTGAATAGTAAGAAAATGAGAGATAAAACAATTTTATATCATCTTTTTTATCAAGGGAAAGGGAAAGATGCTTCAGATATGTGTCTTCATAAAAAATTTAGGAGAAATGGGAAGGGTTGATTTTAATTAAAAGCTTTTAGGACATATGAATAATAACTTCAGAACTGAAGACACATACAAATAGCTAATGAATGTGCTCTCACTGAATTCTTCACTATGTTGAAAAGCATATTGATACACTTTTAAAACTAGCTCAAGAAGCTGAAAATTGAGGATGGTAGTTTGAAGCCAGCCTAAGCAGGAAAGTCTGTGAGACTCTTTAACCACCAAAAAACCAGACATGGAGCTGTGGCCCAAGTGGTAGAGCATTAACCTTGAGCATTAAAAGCTCAATGACAGTGTCCAGTCCCCGATTTCAAGTCCCAGGACCAGCACACACAAAAATAAATAAATAAAATTAAAAAATAAAGAACAAAAATTACAATGCCAAGTGAACATAGGAAGAATTCATACTTCTCCTGAATTGAAAGCAATTTTCTCAAACATCTTACAAATGTTCCAACTTCTACCTATATAACTAATTTCCTGAAATATTTTTGAGCCTCAGGAAAACAGCATCTTTTTCTATTCATAGATGAAACTTTTTTATTTCTTTTATCTCCCCATAATTTGGTATTCATTGGAATTTGTTATCCTTATCATTTTATATCAAGTTTACTAGCCTTTAAGTGACTGAGTTATAGTTTTTTGACTAGAAGAAATACATTAAATTTGATTCTTGCCTACATGTACCAGTGAGCCTTAATATCCCAGTTTTGTTATTCCAGATTGGTAAATTTTCTTTCTTGACAACTTGGGTTGCTTCATTTTGAGGTGGTGGGGGAGAAAAAGAAAAAGAAAAATCCTGCATCTCAACAATCATTTCTCAGTATTTTTTAATTTCTCAAATTGCTATTTTTGTGAAGTTCATATATTTAAAGGAGTTGGTAACTCTCTCTCTAATGACCAAGAAACATCTTGCTCATTTTATATAGGTGTACGATTTACCTTGGGGATGATATTGCTATTTATCTCACAAAAGAAAATGTCTGGTGTTTGAAGTCTAACATAATATCAGTCCCCACATTTATCAAGTTGCTATCAAGTACAGGCAGAGGGGGATGTAATTGAAAAAGAGCTTCCACTTAACATGGTAGTCATCAGGCAGACACAACATTTTTTTAGAGTAACTTTAGGAATACACATCTCATTATTTCATTCTCAAGAGAATACCAATTTGTCTGACTGAGCAAACATTTTGTTAAATAATTAACATTTTGACACTATTTCACATTTTGAAAAGCTGATGCTTCAAATTCTTCACTCAAAACTAAACAAAAAGAATAAGCCAGAAAAAGCATTCTTCAGTGCCTTCCTCTCTGATTGCTAAATTACCAATTCACTATTTACTCTCCTTGAGACATGACCCAGGACCATGAGTTCACTCAGTCTCAACTTCTTCAGTTCATACTAAAATTTACATCAAGAAGCACAGACACAGCCACCTTCGGAGTTAATTTATGGGAAGCAGTGGGCGTTCCTCCCGCTTCTTCCAGATGTTAGTCTTGCTGTCTCTTTTGGTTAGTGGTGGTGGTCGGCCCCTTTTTCTGGTGGGAGATGTACTGGCTTCAAAATCGTCAACGGTGGTTTTTCTTGCTGGAGACTCCTCCCCAGGGTGCTCCAGGATAACTGCACTCCCTCCTCCATCCAAGATGTGCCTTAATGCCGGGTCCTCCGGGGAACAGACAGTGGTTCCACTCTCGCTGCTGCTCAGGTCTAAATCTTCCAAGTAAAGAATCTTGGGCTGATGCATGCTTTTGATGAATGTTTTCTCCCTCTCCAGCTTTCTACTCAATTGATGCTCATTCATGTCTACCCCAGAGTCAAGACTTGTGTCATTGCTCTGGGCTCTCTTTCCCTTTTTCAGGTCTATGAAGGAGTGCCTCACTTGAGCAACTGGTTTTCCATCAAGGGACACAAACCATGCTCTGGGATGTGGGGAGGGCTTTCCTTTGGACAGCTCCAAGAGGGTCTGCTCTGAAATTCCTTGAAGTTCTGATGAAAATGGAGTCATTACAACAGCTTCATTTAGTGTTCCAGGGACAGAGACAGATTCTAATAAGCTATTGGAGTATCGGCTCCAGTCGGAAGTCTGAGATGGCAAACTCTGCTGACCTTCAAGAACGATATCTTCTTTCCTAGCATCTTGGGGCTGTGCATGAGAATGCATTGGCATTTTGGGCAAAGTCTGTGTGAAGTTCTCTCTGTTTACCTGTTCCACCAATTGGCCATAGACTAACTGTCCCTTTCTTGGCAGAGTAGCTGACTTAGCAGTATGTAACTGTTCTGGAGTGGGGAAGAGGTCTGATGTTTGAAGGATGGCAATGGGCTGGCTGTATATATGCATTAGCTGCTCAGGAATGTGGGAACGTCCATACATCTCCTCCTCGTTACCTGTAAGATGATACCTCTTCTCCTCTTGAGCATCACCTAATGATGACAGATTGTTGTTAATATGTTTAGGTTGTTTGGTCCCTCCAATTGGCTCCAAAGACTGTGCTGGGTTTCTTGAGTAGTTATTTTGATTGACTGATAAATATGAAACCTCTTCATTGTAGATTTTAAAATTGTCCCGAGTTTTTACCATGGAAATTCTTTCTTCTCCTTCTGCTTTTGATGGTTCCTTTTTTTGAGGGCTGTATGAGGCATTCTTGGCATTAAATATCTGTGACTTGTCCTCAGCTTTCAATGCAATTTTGACTGAACTGATGTGATTGATGTGTGTTGTTGATGTTGTCTGGTCTCTCTTGAGGACCTCAAGCTTAGTGATATTTCTATCTCTTTTTTGTGTAGTACCACACTTATCCCTAGAAGAGAAATCATGAGGTTATTTAAAGGTTACAATCTAGAAGACTCATTGTTTTAAATCCCACATATGCATGTTATGACATATATGAAGTGTTGCTGTTAGGATATATATTTTGATTTTCAACATCTATATCTTAAAGACTATACAATTTACTTTTAGAGATAAACTTTGTAATGCACAGAATATACTAAAATGATACTATAATTTGATAAAGAATATAAGGCAGTGATATTTTAATAGGGGTATGCGTGTGTGTATTTGTGTGTGTGTGTGCACGTGTGTGCATGTTTACACACTTAACTAATATTGATCTTACCTGCAATAACAAAGTAGTACAGCAAAAAAACCAATGACAATGACTATCGTCCCTCCCAGTATGGCTGTAAGAAACACTGTGTGGTAGGCAGTTATGTCCTTGGGATCTTCACTTATACCTGAATCTACATGGTCCAACATAAAGACAGAAAACATACAGAAAATATTATTTCAGGAAAACTATTTGACTATGTCATGTCCTAGATAAGACAGACTGAATATAGATACACACTTCTATTGCTTCTTTCCCTCCCATAGCACACATTCCTGTCAGTGAAATACAACGCCCGTACCCTTTGTAAATTCATCAACTGCTTTGCTTTTACCAATGAAATGTGGACACCTTAAATGAGGGTGTATGGCATAAGTATGCTAAGTCATTCAAAAATGTGAACATTATATCCCACAGAGCCTCCAACCGGAGTTCTGAAATGTGGAAATATGCTAGATTAAACCAAGCTAAACCCAGCAGAGTTTTGTTCAATCCAAAACACTCACACAATGCAATCAATGCCTGCTATAGCTAGCCACTGAGATAGAAAGAGTGTTTGCCACTGCATTAATGACTAGACTAGGCCAGAAATGGATGCTGGATGCTGAGATGCTACTATATTAAAAGACCTAAAAAATGTGACAGTAGCCAAGCAACCATCAGGAAGGATACTGCTTTTAGAAGTCAAAGTGGTAACCTGTGCTATTGAAATAACCTGGGAGTGTTATCTCTAACTAATGTGAGCTATGTTTAAAGAGGTTCTGGGATTGAAACAATTCAGTCTGTGGTATTTTGTTATAATAAACTGAGTAGTCTAATACAATATCCAACTTTCTCAGTTTAAAAATAAGAAAACTAATACTAAGATTAACAAGTACCTACTTCAAATTCATCTGGTTAATTATAAGCAAAGCCAGACCAACTATCAAGTCATCTTTGCTTCTAGGATAAAGTATTGCTTTAGTTGTGATCTGCTTGAAGAATACATTTTTGAAAAGCATCACTAGAAGGTATTGACTCACACTAAGTGTAAATTTCATGATTCTATTTTACTGCTCCGCTTCACACAAAAGCTTTTCCAACAGGTATGCTACAACAGAATTTCAATCTGTTGTAGAAAATGACTTTGGCTTTTGTAATTCATAAAACCAATCTTATGTAAATTGTTTCTTTGAGGCATATTTTTAGTGAAAGTACACATCTCTATAAAACCCACAAGTTCCTTGGGTGATTTTTATTAAAAATGAAATAACTTAAACATTTTTCTTTTTCATGAATATTTCATTATAGGTGCCAAAACAGAATGGGATAAGGAGAGACAGCTGGCAAAACTGCATGATACTTTGCATCATTTAGAACAAAGGTGACCACTATCTGGTTTCCAAATAAATAATCTCACATGAAAAAAAAAATCTCACATGTACAAATCCAACAGAAAAAAAGATTATCTTTCTCCATTCTGTATAGCTAATGGCTCATATTTCTCCAACTGAAATACTAAATATTGGTTTTATTGAAAAAACCTAACCCTAACCTTAACCTATGTTACTTCTCATGGCTTAAAAGTCAAATGTTAGTACAAAATGAAAATAAAACTGTCATTAAAAAACTATTTCCAGCCAGGCACTGGTGGCTCATGCCTGTCATCCTAGCAACTCAGGAGGCTGAGATCTGAGGATCATCGTAGTTCAAATGCCAGCCCAGCCTGGAAAGTTCGTGAGACTCTTATCTTCAATTGGCCACCAGAAAACTGGAAGTGGCACTGTGCTTCAAAGTGGTAGAGCGCTACTCTTAGGGAAAAAAGCTCAGGGACAGCACCCAGACCCTGAATTCAAGCCTCATAACTGATCCCCACCCCCACCCCCTACACACACACAAAAATGTTTTCCAGAAAAAAAATCAAAAATAATACTTAGAATAAAGTTATATGATGCAATACGGCACAAAAACCAAACAAATAAAATGTACACTCCTGGTCTGGGAATATAGCTTAGTGGTGGAGTGCTTGCCCTAGCGTGCATGAAGCCCTGGGTTCGATTCCTCAGTACCACAGAAAAAGCCAGAAGTGGCACTGTGGCTAAAGTGGTAGAACTCTAGTCTTCAGCAAAAAAAGAAGCTCAGGGACAGTGCTCAGGCCCTGAGTTGAAGCTCCAGGACTGGCAAAAAAAAAAAAAAAAAGTATACTCCTAAATTATACTGGGAATTTATCTTTTTGAATTTTTTAAAATTTTCTTTAAGTAGCTCTACAAAATAACTGCCATTAAACAAAACATCCTGATCTTTTTGTATGTTTGTTTGCATTTGGTTGTTTTCACACAAGTTTACACTATGTAGCCCAGACTGGCATTAAAGTTGTGATCCTCCTTCTTCAGTTTCCTGAGTATGGGGAACAAAGGTGTGCAGCAGCATGCTGGGTGAGACTATTTTTGACCAGCATGAATTAGGCAGGTAAGAGCTGCCTCTTACCTGGCAGCTAAAGCACTGAAACAAGAAAAAGAATCATCTCTGACATGATGAGGATGGAGGATGGATATGAACACTCAACTTCCACTCCCAAACCTTGACTAAAACTAAAAGTTTTGCTTTGCTTTTATTTTGTACATACACAAACAATGAGAACAATGAGACAGAAAGTTGAAAACCAAGAAACACTTCAATTTATGCCAGCAAACACCAGAAGACCAAGAAACTAGTAGCAGAATAACAAACCGACCAGTCTAGTTTAGAGGAGATTTCTTTATTCATTAAGATTTAATGAAGAAACACATCATGTTTAGTTTTTTTAAAGAAATTTACTGACTAAGATCAATGTAGGTTTCTCTGTGTTTGCATTAGCTAAACAATTTGAAAACATTAACTATGAAAACAAAAATACTCATTTCTTTAGGAATATGTATAGGTCTCTTGTATTGGACATCACCTCCCACTCACCATCTGTTGAAAACATCATTTCCATTTTTATTTGGCATATCACCTATCTTATTGTCCAGATATACTATTATCCAAGAGTTTTTCCTTCTTCAGACTACTCAAGACCCAAGTATGGGCCAACCAATCTTCATCTGTAGAATGTTCTATCACTGTGTGAGAAAAATACTTGAAAGGGCTGGAGTCGGCCATAACATAGCAGCCACATGGCAAAGACAGTCAAGTCTTACCTACCTACCCAGACCCTCTGGAGCTGCAGAGATTCCTGCTCCTGCTTCTTAGCCCTTCCTTCATATATCCCTATATCTCTTTTACCTTTATAGAAATTATCCAAAATGTTTCTGTTGCTTGCAACCAAGCGCTATAAAGGATCTGGATAGAATTTACTCATGAAAAAGTATGCCAAAAAATATTCGTGTTGAACAAAATTCATGCTTCACACATTTATCAGACATTATAGCTACCTTATATCGTAGAGTTCATGGACCTTAATCTTTTCTTGTACACATGAACTCAGAAAAGAAAAATTGGAGATAAAGGGATGAGATGTTCTTTCCAGAGTCATACAGCTAGTAAGTATATGCTATTTTTTTTCTTTTAGGAGACTTGAATTTATTACACCAGCAGGCCCTGAGGAGTTCCTCCTCCAAACTCTGAGAACGCCCTTGACGAATAACAAGGTTAGATAGTGGGGTAGGGCTACCAGGGCGATGCTGGTTGCCAATAGGTAAGTTTAAACTAGGGGAGGAGGTTGCATAGGCAGGAACAAGTTAGGGTGGTACCGGAAGTTCAGAAGCTGGAGGCAGAAGGCCTGTTTATAGGAGGCGATCCCAGGATGTGGTGGTATATAAGAATTTTACAGCCCTTACATTGATTACAGTTTGTTTACAAAGGGCAGGTGGTGATTAATCTCTACCTGGGGCAGTTAGTGCTATGAGATCAATTGTCCAATAGGGGTATTCCAGAATAGTCACACCCTGGAATTGACCATGCAGGGAATGCTTTCTCAATTCAGGTTTCTGTGCCTAGTGTCAGCCAACGTCCTTGACATTCCCCCCTTTTGATACCTTTTGTAGCAAGAATGAGCATGAATCTTCTGTGAGATTCATCATATTAAGTCTGGAGCATCTGCACTTTTAAGGCCTTAGCATACATTTAAAATAAGATAAAATAGAAACCAATTGATAATTCTAGAATGGTATCTGAATTGTTTTTAATTACTGAGTTTCATTTTCACAGTACCTCTGGATCCTGGAAGTGGAGCTGCTATCCAGTATCCCAGATGCGGTGCATCGTAAGTCCAAACTAAGTGATTGTTATGTTCTTTGACCACTCCCCAGCCATGATTTACCCAAGAACCTTAAAAGGAAGGTAAGTAATAAACAAATAAAAATGTTAGTTATGTATCTTTAACACTAATAGGAGTTGCTGATAACCCATTGAATAATACTTAGTAGTAAAAAAAAAAAAAAGATACTAGATCTAACTGGCACCATCTTGGATAAGGAATTGAGTTTAACTGCCACCATCTTGTCTTCATGGCTGAGGACTTAACTGAATTCCTAGAGTCAGAGGCAGGGACTTGGACAATAGGTTACTGGACCTATCAGTCCTGTACCTTGAACTCTGGAGACTCTCCTGCTCTCTGTGACCCTGCTCCCTGACCATGACCCTATTTAGGCCCGGACCAGTTCAGACACCAGGGTGTGCCATACCTTGTGTCTCCTTACTCTCCTCAGGTCACTATAGCATCCCACTTCAGCTCTCCATTGGAGTTGATATAGTTTGTTAGGATTGTTTTTCTGCTCTTGCTTTGCTTTACTACTCTCATGACTCAGTTTTCTAACAGTGTTGAGTGTATTCAAGGCTGCAAGTTTTCAGGGGACATGTGTCCACCTGCAGTCAATGGCTTTTTAATAAAGATTCCTGAGTCAACTTCTCAAAATGTGGCTTCTAAGTATGTGAGTAGTGAAGTCCTACTTCAAGTCCTGTGTTTAATTTCCAGAGCCACCAAAACCAAATATATACATAAAGACATACACATAGATATACATATACTGATTCATTAACAAATGGTTATCTGTCTTTTGTGCTGGGATTGTGATCAAATACTTCCAATATATGTCTTGTGACCTTATTGGGTTATTAAACACTATAATAATATAAGTATGGTATTTCAGGACTAATTTTTTTTTGTCAGTCGTGGGGCCTGAACTCTGGGCCTCAGCACTGTCCCTCTACCGCTTGAGCCACAGCACCACTTCTGGCTTTTTCTGCTTATGTGGTGCTGAGGAATCGAACCAGGGCCTCATGCATGCAAGGCAAGCACTCTACCACTGGGCCACCTTCCCAGCCCAGGACTAAAATTTTTAAACTTAAAAGAATGCTATCTGTTCCAATAAAAATTTACCATCTGTAGAAGATTATTTTTTAAAGCGCTTATACGTATAAACACTATAACAAAGCTATTGATAAGTTTTGTGTATGTATTTTTTGTTGTATCAAATTATTTATTTCAAGTACAAAAGTAGTATTTTACTTGTGTTTATAATTGATACATGTATTTGTAAAGAAGAGTATGATAATTTGATAGTTGAATGGAATATCTAATATGAAAATCAGGGCAATTGGCATTTATATTTTTCCTAACATGTATGATTTTATGTGTTAAGAAGCTTTTTTTTTAACTCAAGGCTAATGCTCTACCACTTGAGCCATAGTTCCATTTCTGGCTATTAGGTGGTTAACTGGAGATAAGTGTCTCATGGACTTTCCTGTCTGGATTGTCTTCAAACAATTATCTTCAGATCGCTTCTTCCAGAGTAATTAGGATTACAGGTATGAGCCACTATACCAGTACTGGTTTTTTTTTTTCAGGGTTTTTTTTTTCCTCTCTTACTTAGTCTCCTCAGCAAACCTACTAGGTAGGTATTGTTATGCTATTACAGATGAGAAGCTTGACATGTAATACTAGCCCATTTGCTTTGTGAAGGCTCACAGAACAGGGCCTAGGAACAGGCCAGGAACAGGGCCTAGACATTTAAGAGCACATGTTCTTCCTTCCTACTTCTGTGTTTACAAGTTAGTGCTTTATGTTGTGTGTGAAATATAACCCAGAAGCTCAGGTGTTATAAACTTGGTCCCTAGCATGGTATTACTGGGAAGTGGTGAGGCCTTTAAAAGCTATGGCTACAGGAAGGTCTTTAGTCATTTGAGGCATGCCTTCCAAGGGAATTTCAGGACCCCAATACCATGTTCTTCTTCCTCTTTGCTTCCTAGCCATGCAGTGGGTGTTTTGCTCCTCCACAAAGCTCTCATCATGATGTGCTGTATCACCACAAGGCTAAAACAAAAGGGCCAACAAAATTGTGGATTGAAACTTCTAAAATTGTGAGCCCAAGCAACTTTTTTTTTTCCCCAAAGTTGAGGAAAGAAAGACCGTATGTTTGGGACTATGCTGCTGCTGCTGCTGCTGCTGCTTTCTTTCCTCCACCTTCCCCTCCCCCTCCCCCTCCTCCTCCGCCTCCTCCCCCTCCTCTACTTCCTCCTCTTCTTCTTCCTCCTCATCTTCCTCTTCATCCGTGTCTTCTTCTTTCTTCTTCCCTCCTCCTTCTCCTTCTCCTCCTCTTCCTTCTACTTCTATTTGTAATAGGGCTATTTCCTAATGTAAGTTTGACAGCCTTTATAACATTTGTGATAATTCTTTATATTTAAAGGTATGTCATTTTGTGCAAATGTCTATATCTGTATTCTTTTATATAAAATCAGGGATTAATATCTTTTATTTACACAATAAATGTGAGAATCTTTTAACCTGTCTAGTTCTTTTGATTTTTATCAAAAACCATAGACAACAGTTTCCTTACTATGCTATAGAACTCTAGAACTAATTCCTCCTGTCTATTGTTGATATCTCTATTCCCATATTGATCTCAGCATTATTCACAATAGCTAAGATACTGAATTAGCCAGAGTGTCCACTGACGGATGAATGGGTAAAGAAAATATACACGATTATTATTCAACCATAAAGGGATGAAATCTTGTCATGTGCAGAGAAATTGTCCAAATAGTTGTTTGTTTAATAAGATAGAGAAAGTTGGAATGATGAAAATGACTCAACTGTCTGCCTTCAAATAGACACCAACTGCATATATATCAATTCAAATAGTTTGCTACTGGAAGTTCTTTAAAAACAGGCAACAACCATTTAAGACTCATATTCTTCAGTGAATCCAAGGGCTATTTCTGTGGCTACCAGAAAAAAGGACTCTTTTTGTCTCTAGCCTTCAACCTAGGTAAATATGCAGTAATAAAGGAAGATGCTTACGTAGAGGGAAAAGATTATGTGAAATCATCAAGGCTCTGTAGCAGACTTGCCCAAGGCAGCTCTACACAGGGACTGTTCAGCTATGGACTCATTAACCCCACACACACACCCTCCACGCACATGTCTTTTTTTCTTCTGGTAACTTAGACTCCCACCTTGTTTACATGAGAACACACACAAGGGAATCTGAGTGGGGAAGTGCTGGTATACTTGCTTAGAGAAACTAGAACACAGGAAAAAATATTGGTGCCTCAAGTTGTTTGGGGAAAAGAATAACTCTTCTTGTTTTTAATAAAACACTGTTATTTACTTTCATGAAATTGACACTTCTCAACAAGCTTTTAGGTAAGCTCATATGACCTACTAAAAACTCCTGAGCATAAATAAAAACTTTTGTATGTCAGTACTGGGGTTTAAACTCAAAGCTTTGCACTCTCACTTGGCTTTTTCTCTCAAGGCTGCTGCTCTACCATTTGAGCCCACACCTCCACTTCTGGCTCTTTGCTGGTTAATTAAAGATAAATGGAAAGACTTGGAAAAAGTGATATTAAGTGAAGGAAGCCAGGCCCAAAGAAATATAGGTCCCAGGGTTTCCCTTATTTGCAATAACTAGTATATGTCTGAGACAAGCAGAAAAGGTCAGATAAGTTGATGTTAGGTAAAGTGAACCCCAAAATAAGTATTTAAATGTTTTTCTTTCTTGTGATTGTTTCTAACATATTTATAAGATTATTTCTTTGTTGCTTTTTATGTCCCCCCCCACAGTACAACCCCTGCTTTCACTGTATTTGATGTCAGTATAATTTGTGGAGGGGAAGGGGAAAAAACAAATTGTTTAAATAGGGATACAGGTGGACCGATTGCAACAATGCGATGTGCAAGACGTTATGTTGAAAAACAAACTTTACAACTTTGGCAGGGGATAGGGGAGGGAGGCGATGGAAAGGGCTGGGAAGGGGAAACAAAGGAGGAGGCAACAATGCTTGATAAGAAATGTACTCATTACCAATTGTAACCCCTCTGTACGGTATTTTCACAATAAACAAAAAAGAATCTCACAGACTTTTCTCCCCAAACTGGTATCAAATCAGGATCCTTGGATCTCAGCCTCCTGAGTAACTAAGATTATAGGCTTGAACCATCAGTCTCTGGCTTTCGTTAATTTTTTTCCTCTTTATTTTTTATTGTCAAGATGATGTATACAGGGGTTACAATTACATAAGTAAGATACTAAGTACATTTTTTGTCAAACTTGTTACCCCTTCCCTCATTTTTCTCCTACTTTCCCTCCTCCCCAACCCCCCCCAAGTTGTACAGATCATTTCCAACATATTGTCTTGTGAATATTGCTGTTACATTGGTTCCCCCCTTGACCGTTGTCTCACCATTTTGTTGTTCCCCTTCCCTTCCCTAATTCAGATAGACGTATATACAATGCCAGGGTATCAAAATCAAATACAGTGACAACCGGGGATAACCATAGGGGGCAGAACATAGAAAAGAAACAAAAAAAATCACATAGTACATTAAAAACAATAACCAAAAAGAAACCTCTTGTGTCCATGTCTTGGAGTTCTCTTATAAGGTCATATGTACGTAGCTTTTGAGCTATTCTGCTCATCTGCTAAGAATATCCGAGACATATACTAATTATTGCAAATAATTCTTTTTAATCTTTCCAAATCACTGCCTCTAAACACTGGAGGAAGGAGTGAAGCACTCTGGTGTTTCTAGAACATACATTGCCATCATTTCCCCCCCTGTAATGCTAATTTACATAAAGCTAAGTTCGGTCACTAACAAAGGGCATCATATTTGTAAGGTTACTGACAAAGCACTCAAACATTCCAAAGAAAACACTCATGTTATTTTTATCTCACGAACATACCTGTGTTCATATCGAATGTCCAAGCAGGTATGCGGTCACCCCTGTGGACGTCATCCGCATGTAGGAGAGGGAGTGAGACTTGAATGGAGCCATCCACCTTTAACTCCTTCCCTCCAGAATATATTTTCACACATATTGCAGCAAGAGGAGTCAATTCAATGCTTTCAAAACCTAAAAATGGGGACACAATCGTGTATAAATGGAGATTGTATTTTAGGTAAGAAATTATGAGTCTAAAATATCTAGTTCTTCTATTTCCACAGTATTATCCATTCTCATTTCAAATAGCTGAGAGAGCCATATCTAGGAATTGTTTTTTTTTTCTTTCACACTTTTTTTAAATTGTGAAAATACTGTACAGAGGGGTTACAATTACATGAGCAAGGTAATGAGTACATTTCTTTACAAGCATTGTTGCCTCCTCCTTTGTTTCCCCTTCCCATCTCTTACCATCTCCCCCCCCACCCCACCACTCCCCTGGGCCAAAGTTGTAAAGATCATTTTTCGACCTAACGTCTTGTACATCTCATTGTTGCAATGGGTCCACCTGTATCCCTATTTAAACAATTGTTTTTTCCTTTCCCCTCCACAAATTATACCAACATCAAATACAATGAAAACAGGGGTTATACCGTGGGGGAGGGACATAAAAAACAACAAAAATCATCTTATAAATATGTTAGAAATAATAGCAAGAAAGAAAAAAACATTTGAGTCCTTATCTTGGGGTTCATTTTGCCTAACATCAACTTATCTAACCATTTCTGCTTGTTTCAGACATATACCAGTTATTGCAAATAAGGGAAACCATGGGATGTATGTTTCTTTGGGCTTGGATTACTTCACTTAATATAATTTTTTCCAAGGCTTTTCATTTCCTAACAACTGGGGCAATGTCATTCGTTCTGATGGAGGCATAGAATTCCATTGTGTATATATACTACATTTTCTTGATCCAGTCATCTACTGAGGGGTATCTGGGTTGGTTCCATATCTTAGCTATGGTAAATAATACTGTAATAAGCATAGTTGTGCTGGTAGCTTTAGTATGGTCTTGTTTGTGATCATTTGGGTAAATGCCCAAAGTGGGATTGCTGGGTCATAGGGGAGCTCTAAACCTCTTATGCTCCTGGATTGGAAGGATAAACATCGTGAAAATGGCAATACTTCCCAAGGCTATCTACAAATTTAAGGCTATACCTATCAATATTCCAACCTCATTCTTCAAGGAAAAAGAAGAGGCAATCCAAAATTTCATATGGAACAATAAAAGACCCTGAATAGCAAAAATGATCCTTAACAGAAAGAATAGTGCTGGAGAAATATCAATACCAAATTTCAAACTCTACTATAAAGCCACAGTAATCAAAACAGCTTGGTAATGGCACAAGAACAGACCTCCGGACCAATGGAATAGAATTGAAACCCCAGAAATGAACCTACAGACCTATAGCCATCTAATCTTCGATAAGGGAGCTAAAAAAATAGAATGGAAGAAAGACAGCCTCTTCAGTAAATGGTGCTGGCAAAATTGGTTAACTACTTGTAGAAAACTAAAGCTAGTTCCTTATATATAATGGATCAAAGACCTCGGAGTCAAAGCAGACACTCTGAAAACATTACAGGATGGAATAGGAGAAACCCTAGGTCTCCTTGGCACAGGCCCAAATTTTCTTAATAGAGACCCAGAAACACAACAAATCAAAGAAAGGTTGGACAAATGAGATTGCATGAAATTGCAGAGCTTCTGCATGGCAAAGGACATAGCTAGCAACATCAATAGAAAGCCCATGGATTGGGAGAAGATCTTCACTAACCATACAATGGACAAGGGTCTCATATCTAAAATATACTTGGAACTCAAAAAATTAAATCCCCCAACAACAAATCCTCAAAGAAACAACTGCCCAATAAATAAGTGGGCTAAAGACTTAAAGAGAAACTTCTCTGAAGGGGAAAGAAGGATGGCTAATAGACACATGAAGAAATGCTCAACTTCTCTAGCCATAAAAGAAATGCAAATCAAAACAACATTGAGATTCCACCTCACCCTAGTTAGAATGGCTATAATCAAGAACTCTAATAACAACAGATGCTGGAGGGGATGTGGCCAGAAGGGAGCCCTACTGCATTGTTGGTGGGAGTGTAAACTTGTTCAACCACTTTGGAAAGTAGTATGGAGGTTCCTCAAAAGTCTCCACATAGGAATTGTTTTTTAAACGTAACTTCAAAGTAGGTCATAGATACAAGTTAAACAAGACAGCTTTAACCAATCAGTGTGTGTGCGAGTTACTTCATTATCTCCATCATCTCACTTAAGAACACTGGTACCCAACTCAGTATTTTTGAAAAAAATATCATCAAGAAAGCACATCCATTATATCATAGCCAAAGGCTGCACTGCACTTCACCATCAATGCAGGTGCAACATCTGGCCTTTTATCTTCCCAGCAGTTCTAGAACCAATAGACCCACATGTGCTCCACATGTAGAAAGCACTCTTGTTCCAAATACAATGTTTAATGGGTAAAAATGGCAATTCCATAAAAAACAACCGCTTAAAAGTATTCCAATTTGTGCTTTAAAAGTGGCATGTAGTCTCCAAAACTTACGTGTAAATTAAATTTCTAATAAGTAACTAAATATCTAAACAAATTATATCTGAGGAAAGATTTATGTACTGATGTTTCTTATAATCATTATTACACATCAGAACACCCTTAGGAAGGAGGGGATAATAATGACTCCCAAAGATCAGGAATTATTCCCCGTTCTGTTCTCTACAATATGTGGAGCCCTGCTTTTCAAGTCTTAATCAAATTTGTGGGAAAAGAATGTGCTGAATGAATTGAAAGAATGAATTTATAACATCTAAATTTTCTCTCTAGTCAGAGAAATCCAGGAAAAGCACTGAGACAGTATGTGTAAACACCACTACTAAACAAACCCTGCACAGAGTGTTTTTTTATTTAAAGAAAGTATTCCATAAAAAGTATTTTTTATGTAAAGAAAATCAGCAGTATCTGTAAACAATTCAGATTAAATTTGTTTGGGTTCTGTAAAAAAAAATATTACACTATATAATAACTACAACACACCTGGTTTGTTGAGAGTAATTCCAGTCGTATACAGAAAATTGTCCACTTTTAAAAACTGTTGTAGGACTGTGAGATAGCCAGTAACGTTGCTAATGTGATGGTTGTCAGGAAGTTTAATTAAGGCTTTTGAAAACTGAACACTCGGTTGAGATTTGGCATCTGGAAAAAGGAAATCTCATTAATGAATAGCTGAAACAAAGGCATGTGAAGCATTACATCATTGGTCAGGACATTTTACTTTAAAGTAGTTACAGTTATTTCTAAAAGTTGTCTAATGTGTTTCTAACATTTCTAAATCTTCTCACATGATTATGACTTTAAATTCAGAAATGAATAAGAAACTTTCCTCATTTTAGACTGAACAATGCATCTTTGCAGAAAGGTCTGCCTGAATTTGTTGCCCAGAATATCTTCATCCTTCCTTGGATTTCACTCTAAGGGACCACACACTGACCATTTTTAGCCCCACTTGGAATTTCATTTCTGTAACAGCAGTGGAGTTGACAGCATTGGCCAAAATAGGCTGAAATCCATCCAAGCATCTTACTATTCTCTTAGTCAAAGTGATTTGTTCAATAATGGGCCTTGTCCCAGTTAATAAGATGTACTGTGAGTTTTCTTTGGACTTAGCAGGCACTTTCTTGTTTACTCCAATGGATTTTATCTAAGCAAGTATACAGCTAAGAGTTTCAATAACCATCTGTGACTAAAAATGAGAGCTTGTTAGAAAATGGAGGAAATGCTCAAAGCATGAAGCGGGCACAGTGGCTTGTGTTCTTGTAATCTTAGCTACTAGGCAGGTAAAGATAAGAAGGATGACAGTTCAAGGGTACCCCAGCCAAAACAGTTTACAATACCCATCATACACAGCCAATGAAAAGCTGGGAACATGAAGGAATACTTCAAGAGGTAAAGTGCCAGCTAAGTAAGTAAGCTGAGAAAGCGTGTGATACTGGCAAAACAAAGAAAGAAAATTTAAAAATCAAAAGCATCCAGGCACTGGTGGATCACATTTGTAATCCTAGCTATTCATAAGGCTGAAATCTGAAGATTGTGATTCAAAGCCAACCCAGGCAGGAAAGTCCATGAGACTCTTACCTCCAACTAACCACCAAAAAACTGAAAGTGAAGCTATGACTCAAAGTGGTAGAGTGTTAGCCTTCAGTAAAAGAGCTCAGTTACGGTTCCCTGGCCCTGAGTTCAAGCCCCATTAATAACTACAACAAAACAACAACAACAAAAAGGGGTCAAATATAGTCTAGTTTAAAATGGGAATGTCAGCTTAATGATTGTAAATAACAGCATATTTAAAAAGAAAATAAATCAGCGGGGTGCTGGTGGCTCATGCCTATAATCCTAGCTACTCCAGAGACTGAGATCTGAGGATCACATTTCAAAGCCAGTCAGGGCAGAAAAGTAATGTGAGACTCTTATCTCCAACTAACCACTCAAAAACAGGAAGTAGAGCTGTGGCTCAAACTGGTAGAGCACTAGCTTTGAGCCAAAATTGCTCAGGGATAGTGTCCAGGCCCTGAGTTCAAACCCTAGAACTGAAAAAAATAAATGAAGGAAAGAAAAACAAATAAAAGATACAAAACTTTCCTACAAGTGAAAACATGTGCTCTTTGCAAAACATATAGTTGTGCTTCTGAAGATTTTGTACATTCCTAGAGTCATGATTTTTCCTCTTCTTTTTACTATAAACATATTAATACATTGCTCACACTTCTATTGTACAAAATGAGCACCTTTCTGATCAAATACTTTGTGAAAGTTAAAAAGCGAAAAAGTATATGTATCATTACTGCAAGCATCCATCCTTTCTTACTTGCTGCTACGAATAGGTGGCCTCTTGCGAGATATGGCAACAAAGGAAGTGACTGAGGAACTCAGAGGTCTCAGGATGTTTTCCTGGGCACCTGCCAACCTGCAACCAGTACTGTCCAGACTAATAAACACACCTCACTGCTTGGCATTGGTGGCAAAGGTGTGGCATAGACACACTCACACACATTAATCCACTTCATGCCAGCAGAAATTGTGATTTCTAACAGGGTTTGAAGAAGCCAATGAAGTGTTAAGACTATGTCAAAATAAGACAGAATCAAATAAAGAAAATACTAATATAGAACTATGGAGAGGCAGAATTCATAAAGTCTTAGCAGCCGGAAATATGCCCCTGTGTGGGCCTGTGGTTCTTATTTACTATGCATCCCTTCACACACAGCTGTGCATCCTCCATTCACCAGCTAAATCAGTGGTTCAAAATTCTGCCAAAAGTCCAGACATCTCAAGAGTATCTACAGCCCCACTCAATAGATTACTCCAAAATTAATCAAGTGCTACTTCAACTTTTTCCCAAACAGTTGGAAAAACGTATTTGCAAGAGTAAAGTACTCTTAATAGGTTAGAAACAAAATGGCTTCAAAGTGAAGAGCACTTCTTCAGAAACAATTGTTTGTCAGTTGTAAAGCTATTATTGGTTAGATGGTAAACAAGTGAGATTGCCAGAGGTTTCTTCTAAGCACCATTAAGAGGCCTGGGGAGATAAAAGAATGTTTGTTCATTCCTTTGTCACCTTGGTGGCTGGTGAGGAGGAAATGGAATCAGTCCTCAAAATAAGGCTTTGTGCACTCTTTCCCTTGGGGTGTACAAACAAGGCAAATCATGGCTTCCCAACAACCACATAGCTACCCAGGGTTAGGCTTCTCCTACCAGCAGCAAGACTAACCCAGGAAGAATGGCTCACAACTATAGCATTCCATAGGTCAGAGTGACATGAGTTCTGTCCCTTTTCACCACCTACGAATGTTCCTTGTGAGAGATGTGATTAGACAGAAGGACAGACAGAAGTAATTCGTGTAATTCCCGTCATCTAAAGTCAAATGTTTCCATGGCAGAGGATAAGTGACCTAGTAAAAATAAAAACTATTTCCAGTACACAAAAAAACACATAGTCTTATAGCAGGATAAGGACCAGGTTAGATCAGCTTACAGTCAATACTAATCATCACTGATCAATTCTGATTTTTCCCAAGTTATAAATGAGATTGATTCATCTCCATAATAACCCCTATATTTCCTAATTAAAAAGAAGAAATGCACTTACCAGCTAATTTTCCAGTAATAAGAACAGTGTCTTCAAATAGCCATATATTTGCTTGGCTTTGTGGGAACAGGGAAAGTGTAACTGATGAATAAACTGTGAAATGTAACACAATTAAAATAGTTAATGTGGGGACAACACTGGGGCAAATACAGTTCTGCTACAGAAGTTCTAAGTAATGGGGTAGAGGAACAAAATGATAAAAGCAATGTAAAACAAAGAAAGAATAAATATAAAATATGATGGGGGAAAAACACAATAAAAGTTACAATTTTACTGATCTTTTCCATTTTAAATAGTAGTTGATACACCAATGTAATGAATGATGGGTTATAATGGGCCTACATATAAATAATCCTGCTGTTAGCTGCCTGAATAACTTGTTATTTTTTTCTATATAGTTATTTCCTATTTAGTTCTTAAGACTTGTTTTGGGCTGCTACTGAAGCTTGAACTTGGGATCTGAGCACTGTCCCTTAGCATTATTGTTTAAGGATGGTGTTCTACCTCAAGAGCCACAGCTTAACTTCCTGCTTTATTGTGGTTAACTGGAGATAAGAGTTTCACAGACATTCCTGGCTGGGCTGGCTCTGAACTGCAATCCTCAGCTCTCAGTCTCCTGAGGATGACAGCCACCAGTGTCTGGAATGAATTTTTTTTCTTTTCTTCATTGACTCAAAGATTCTCGGGGAAGACTACATCCACTCTTCATTTTTAACTTCCCACACAGAGCACAAGACTCTTCCACAGTGTACAATTTGCCAAATGGACTTGCAGTTGGCAGAGGCAGAAACTAAAACTGTTATCCAGTCATGTTGAGTAGTAATATAGGATGGACTAAGCCTGCCAAGGAGAGTAGGTGCCTGGAAAAACGTGTGAGACAAGGAAGTACAGATCTCCTGAAATAAGACTAAATTATTTCAAGACCACGGCCTAGAGTTGTAACAAAAGACCATTATAACCAAGAACAAATGAAATGAACAACCCTATCAAAAACAAGTCACCAAAAGCATGTTTCCATGTGGTATTCCTCCTCTGTATATATGTAAGGGTTTAGTAAATGAATAGCAATAGCACAGTATTCACAAATCTCTTAGAGGATAAAAACTTGCACAGAAGTACATTTAGTATTTAGTATTAAAATGAGTTTTAAGGAAAAAATACTGTGTATCTGATGATGGGTGATAGTAAAATGAAATACACCTTTATTCTTTATTTCTGTAGAAAAAAATGAGTTACCAAATAAAACTTGGATTTCAGAATCCAATAACATTTAGACTCATGGATTTATTTTAATTGGAGAGGAGGTGGTAGAGTCACAGCTTGGACTTCAAGGTGATATATTCAATATTTTCTAAGTCACAGGTAGCTAAAAAGGAACCATCCTGACAACTTTTAAGGCTTCAAAGCCTGAAGAGAATCTCTATGAACCTCACTAAAACTTATATTCAGCTTTCTTTTCACTTATTTTTTTTCTTCCTACAAAATGGCTGTTAAATCCACTATGAAAATGTTGAGATACACAAAACAGGTTTTAAAAAACATCATAACCATTGCAAACCACCACCAAGACAACCATTAATAATATCTTGTATAATTCTTTACTGACATTTTTTCTTTTTTGGCGGGGGGGGGGGTCCGGTAGTGGGGCCTGAACTCTGGGCCTGGGCGCTGTCCCTCAGCTCTTCAGCTCAAGGTTAGCACTCTACCACTTGAGCCATGGCGCCACTTCCGGCTTTTTTCTTTCTGCTTATGTGGTACTGAGGAATCGAACCCAGGGCCTCTGGCATGCAAGGCAAGCGCTCTACCACTGAGCCACCTTCCCAGCCCCTGACATTTTTTCTTATAACTTGTTTTTCGCCAGTACTGGGACCTGTATTTATGAATGTGCAACAACGCACTCCTTCCTTTTGTCATTTTTTCCATTGGTTTCTTCTTCTTTTTCTTTGAGTGAATGGTTTTGCATAATTTGTCTTTTTTTAAAAGTAAAGCATTTAAACCATCAATTTATGTCAAGTACATCCCTATTCTGATTTTATTCACTTTCCATCTTATTTCTTATCAAAATTTAAATAATGGCTCAATAATTCAAATGTTCCAATATGAAGCCAAATATTTGTTTCACCAAATAAGAATCCTCATAAGAAAAAAGAAAACTGGTTACCTAATATATCAACCTTCAACCAATACTTTGATATTTTGCACAGCACATCCTTACCAAAGTCCAATCAGTCCCTCTACATACTACCAATGCTGCCTTCACTACATCCTTTGTATTCACCTGTACTTCCATTTTCTGTCTTACTTCAGGTGTTGTTATTGTACACAGAATCCTAATCAACTCCCTGGCCAAGCTCTCCAGATCCAATTTAGCCCTCTGATGACCAGCAGCACAGCAATACACATTTAAAAAAAAACTAGTTTCTAAACAACTTAGTCCCCCTGTGCTAAGAATCAACGGAAACTACCTGATTTTGAATATAAATCCAAACGATTGCTTCCTTTTTGGGGGGTGGGGTGTTTGTGGTGGGGCTTGAACTGAGTGCCTGGGTGCTGTCACTAACTCTTTTTGCTCAAGGCTAATGCTCTACCACTTGGCCACATTGCTACTTCAGGTTTTCTGGTGGATAATTGGAGGTAAGAGTCTCAGACTTTCTTTCCCAGGCTGGCTTTGAACACCAATCCTCAGGTCTCATCTCCTGAATAGCTGGAATTACAGGCATGAGCCACCAGTGCCCTGTATTTGCCTTTTACATCTATCTATCCAAGCCTAATTTCTCAGTAACCCTTTGGACACACCAGGGTCCAACTCCCAGCGCTATGTGCAGAGAAGTTCATGCTCAGGATCCCTTCAATCCTCTGCAGAAGGAAAAGGCCTTCATAATTCCTATAGCTTAAAGGTTTATGTCTCCCTAAATTTATAGGTTGGACTTCTAGCCTCCATAATAGCATTATGTGGGGCCTCCTAAATAGCAATTAGATCAAGAGAACAGCGCCTTCATGAATATGGTTTGTCCCCCAAAATAAACAAATCGGTTAAACATGGCACCTTGAATCCTACCTGCAATCTCATCATTTGAAGCTAAAGCAGGAAGATTGCGATTTTGAGGGCATGCTGGTCTACTTAAGACAACCCTGTAACATTTTTCAAAAAATAAAAAGGGAAGGGCAAGGGACAGGAGGGAAAATTGAAAACAAACTCAATTCCAAGGAACTCATTTGCCAATTATACCAGTAAGGACACAGTAGGAAGGTACCAGCTACAAAGCACAAAGCAAGCCTTCATCAGACACCGAATCTTCTACTAGAAACATGATTTTGGACACTCTAACTTCCAGAACTGTAAGAAATGAATTAATGTTTATAAACCACCCAGTTTTAGGTGGTTTTTCTTTATAGTAGCCAAATGGACTAACTGTGCTCTTCAAACTGGATCTCCCTTCTAACCTCATCATAAGGACTTCCTTTACAAGCTAATTAATATTCCCAGTCTCAGTGCTCTCTTATAGAAATAGTTATCCCCAAAACAAGGGGGATCATTTACCCTTAGTAAGCCAAAACACTGTTTAATTGCTTACTTGGCATTCTTCCGGTCTTCCAAGGCAGAGGTGTCAACACATAGCCATCTTTATAAGCAATAATGGTTAAGCTGAGGCCTAATTTATAGGGCACTTTTATCAACACTGCTCCATTGTTTTTAGTTACTGTGGAGTTGGTCTTCGTGTAGTTTACAAATACTTCGACAACTGCTTGACTCAGGTACTGACGGCTGATGATGTCATTCACCTGGACTTTCAGCATAAACACAGACACTGAAAGAGAAAAAGTTAGGAATTGGAATATATCACTTGAAAGTACACCACTATCCTTGAAGAGTCATTAAACACATGTGAGTAACAGGGCACACTGTTTGTAAATTTAGAAAAAATATATATAGCTATGGATGGATGAAAAAAAGCTAAGAATGTTCTCATAAATTCATTATCCTTCCTAAAACTACATACACTTATTTATTATATAATAATCACTTTACTGTTAATTTTTTCCTACCAATTTAAGAGAAGAAAGTAGACTAGTGAAAAACAAAAGGGAGTTTTCCTCTTCAAGAAAACATATTTCCACTCTGTCTTGTTTATTCTAGTGCTATCAAGTTATCCAGATTTAATACTAATTTCAAACATAGTCTAAGACTTTAAAATAGTCATCTAAATAAACCTGTGAATGCATAGCTAGTACATTTATTTTCTTCTATTGTCTGGAAAGCAGTTCCAAGTATACAAAATAATCAAACATGTTTTTCTCTATAATATTAGAAAGCCTTACACATCAACTATATGAGAAAACATACGTTGGAGGAAAAAAAAGTTAAGGCTGATTTTTGCTTAACTCTTTGGTCTTACTCCTCAAGCACAAACTTGGCAATGGATTCGGTAAATTTACCAATAATTACATCAGGTGAAATAAAAGAATTTATACTATCAAGAACTTATGCAATCAAGCACAGTAACATCTTTGCAAAGATGTCTTCTCCCCTGTAAGTGAGATGTGGCCTAAGTCAAGAGCAAGCTAAGAGTTGGGCGCCAGTAGCTCACACCTGTAATCCTAGCTACTCAAGAGGCTGAGAAGCCTTTGTCTGTTCTAAATTTGTTAAACTGAATCTTAAAATTTTTTGCATCATAATGAAGACATTTTAAATACAAATAAAATCAATTAATAAACTTTTGGTACCAGCAAAGGTAAAATTAACACACACACATACACACAAAACTGATCCTTTCAAGAGTTCAAAAATGAGCTTTAATATGCAACTAAAATTAACTAGAATGCCTTACTGTGAATGTGGTTGAGAAGTTTATTCTTACATGACATCAGTTAAAAAGAAAAGTATCCCCTGGCCATGGCCCCCCCACACACAAACACACATGCACACATGCAGGCCAATCATGGCCTCAAACTCTTTGGCAAACAAAGCCCAGAAGGCTGTAATATGCATGACATGAAGGGCCCCTAAGGTAAATGTAGTTAATGGGTCCGTATTACATAAAAACCATGATTACAAAGGACTATAGTACCTGCTGTTCAAAGAATTACTCCCACCAATACAACCCCTTGTCCTCAAACCAATAAAATGTATATAAAATACATGTGGTAGTCAATCAGAGTCAATCAGGGGGCTCAACACTCAAGAACTTATGCAAAGATATACACAGAGAAAATAGTTGTTGGAATTAAACTACAGAAGAAAGACTATGAGCTCCTACTCATTGTGACACCAGCCCTATACCAGTCCCTCTCTAGCCACTGTGATACCAGCACTGCCCTGCCCCCTCTTCTCCCATGTGATATCAGTGCTGCCCTAGTCCTTTCTACCCACTTTGCCAGCAGAGCTGCCCAGGATCCTCTCTTCCCACTGTGACCTCAGCACTGTACCAGTCCCTCTCTACCAAGTGTGACCTCTCTACCAAGCGCTGTCCTAGTCTTTCTGCTCTCACTGTGACTCCGACACTGCTCTAGTCTCTCTCTCAGCACTGTTCTAACCCATCTCCTCCCACGGTGACATGAGCTCTGCACTAGACCCTCTCCTCCCATTGTGACATGAGCACGGTACTCCACCCAGAGACTAGTTTGTGCATCCTCCCTGACTGATCTGGGAGGTCTGTTATAACTCTTCTTGTGAAGTGGCTTGAATATATCCAGCTTCAGTTCTTTCACTATTATCTTAAGCAAGTGCATTCAATGATACAGAGAACAACTGTAAGTGTGGGGTGGGGGGAATTTTTTCAATAGGCTAGTCTATATTCTTTTTTTGTTTGTTTTGTCAGTTGTGGGGCTTAAACTCAGGGCCTGGGCCCTGTCCCTGAGCTCTTTCACTCAAGGCTAATGCTCTACCACTTGAGCCACAGCGCCACTTCCAGTTTTCTGGTGGCTAGTGGCAGATAACAGTCCTGCCTGGACTGACACTGACCACAGTCCTCAGATCTCAGCCTCCTAAGTAGCTAGGATTACAGGTGTGAACCACTGGCACCCAGGCTACATTCTTAAAAGAAAATAAAGGAAGTTGTATGGCTCCAGTGGCTGGCTGTTTGCTTTGCTTGTGCCTTGTTCAATCCCCTGTACAGCACAAAAGGACAAAGAGTATTAAATACAAAGAAATGTGATAATCCATAGGAGAGGGAGATTGCATATGACTCAAAGGAATTTAATATTAAAATTTACTAAAATTTTGCTAATAGATTCATTCAATCTAATGCCCCTAAAATAGTTGCCTCAATTGCATGGTTTTCCTCATGTTTGGTAGTTAAATGTGCTGATAAATCTATACTTAAACACATTGGGTGGTAAGCAAGCAATTACAAATAAATTGACTGAAGTACAATACACTGTATGGAGAGCTCAAATAAAAAATAATTCTTTACAAAGACTAAACCAAAGCTGAACAAAATAAGCTGCAGCAAAGAGGTACTTGCAAGAGAGGGAGTGGGGCCAAGGGGTGAGAGGCAGATGAATGAAGAAGGAAAGGGGGGAAAACGCAGTCAACAATTCATTGTATATACCACAAAGTAAGAAATAAAGGAAGGAGCCGGGCGCTGGTGGCTCACGCCTGCAATCCTAGCTACTCAGGAGGCTGAGATCTGAGGATCGTGGTTCAAAGCCAGCCCAGGCAGGAGAGACCCTAAGACTCCTATCTCCAATAAAACCACCAGAAAACTGGAAGTGGCGCTGTAGCTCAAGTGGTAGAGCGCTCGCCTTGAGCTGAAGAGCTGAGGGACCAAAAAAAAAAAAAAGAAAGAAAGGAGTGTATCAGAGGGAGGGGCTAAAATGTTGAAGGGACAACAAATTAAGATTTATTACTGTGTGGAAAATAACCTATGTAACCTGTGGGCAGGGAAGAAAAGGAGAAAATGGGAAGGTGACAAAAGGCATGACATTGTCTCAAAAAATGAAATGTTCTCATTACCTGACTTATGAAATGATAACAGTGAAATTATATTTTAAAACATTAAACTCTGGAAATCAGAAATAGAGAACATTTAATGTATAATAGTAACTAGCATAAATAAATTACTTTAGAAATGCCTTCAAAAAAAGATTTGTTGTATACATAAACTGCTTTGTTAAATGGCAAAAAATAATACAAATCTTAAAAATTAAGAAAAATGAGAGAAGGGGTGGATTGGAAGGGGTGGGGAGAATTGAAAGAGATGACATTGATCAAGATGTATGGTATTGATAAACTACATTGAATGGCAACTCCTTTGAACACTTACTTAAAGATAATAAAATATTTTTGAAGTGTATTAAGAAACATGTCTTATTTCAGTTAATACACATACATACATGAGATCTCAAATAATGTAATTCTTTAGAAGGGCAAAAGCAAAGTTTGGCAAAATACAACACCAAGAAGGTACTCAAAAGGGGTGGAGTAGGGGTCAAGGGGAAAAGATAGACAAAAGAAGAGGAGAGGAAGGGGAGAAAGCAATTAAAATCCATTGTATATCCTACAAAATTAACAATAATGAGGGAAGGGGCAGATAAGGGAGGGATGGGTAAGAATGTTGAAAGGGGTGACATTGATCAAGATATAGTGTATTCATAAACTGTTAAATGAAATCTGTATATAATAATCAAAAGGAAAACAATGAGTCTTAATGGGGATACTTTTTTTAATTCATTTGCTTCAAACATCAATTTCAGAAATTCTCACAGGCTTTAGATTTGCAGACATCCCAATGTGTGATTAAGTGCTTCAGTATAATTCACGAAACAACTGAAAGTTTCATCTGTCTCATCCTTGACAAGAATAGCTGCTAAAAGAAGACATACTCTAACTTTCTGACAATCTAAAGTTTGATACAGAAAATGTTTTCAAATGTCTCCTAATTCAGAATAGATGGTTTTATGTTTTTCACATTCAATAACCATGTTACACATTCAATGAGCAAAATATCTGCAGGGGTGTCTCAACCATCAAAATGAGTCTTCCTCTCTGCTAAGGTATGCCTTCATTTACTTGGGACTCTGTACAGTGACTGCCCACCCAGAAGGGCTCTCTCTATTTTACTTGGGAAAACACCAGCCTACTTTGGTCTTGCAATTATTTCTTTCCCAGTCCTACTTGATGGAAAATGACATAAAACACAAATTATATATATATATATATATATATATATATACATTTATAAACACACACACATATGCTTTCTGTAATACACCAAGGCTAGTGCTATAACTGTATGTTTTCCAATTTCATCCTAATAAGTCTAGAAGCTAAAATTAAACATACAGTGAGTTTCTTCAAATCCACATTCTTCTTGAAAGTGGAGAGAATGTTATCATATTTACTAGTGTATTTTCTTTCCATCAAAGCTAAAAGGCTGAGTTTTTGCCTATACCTATATGATGGGTCTCTCACCTTGGCACAGACCAGAGCAAAGCAACATTTAAAAAGTTATTTTTTTATCCAGCCTGAAAGCTTAAACAAAATATTTAAATAGACAAGAATGATTCCTTTTCTTCACATGAGAAAGTTATAAACAAACCAAGCATCAGTGGTTCACTTCTGTAATCCTTGCAACTCAAGAAGTTGAGATCTGAGGTCTGTGGTTCAAAGCCAGCCCAGGCAGAAAAGTTCATGAGACTCTTATCTCCAATTAAGCATCAAAAAGCTGGAAATGGAGGTATGGCTTAAGTGGTAGAGTACAAGCCTTGAAAGAAAAAGCTCATGTACTAGCACAAAATAATTCTTTAAGTTATAAAGAACTTCCTGCTGCATGTGTAAACAGGATATTCTGACTCTTAACAGTCTGTT